AATTAGCCAGGCGTGGTGGCATGTGCCTGTAGTCCCAGCTACTCAGGAGGCTGAGGTAGAAGAATTACTTGAACCCAGGAGGCAGAGGTTGTAGTGAGCTGAGATTGTGCCACTGCACTCCAGCCTAGGTGACAGAGCAAGACTCTGTCTCAAAAAAAAAAAAAAATACTAGAATACTAGAAGTTACTAAAAAACATGAAGAACTTGATAAGCCTCATCTAAATTATATCCTTAGGGCAATTTTTGTCCTCAAAGAGTAAAAAGTCATGGGTTTTGATATTTTAAGGTAAAAACGCACATATGAGTTAGTACCAATAATTTTAAAGCATTTATTTATTCATAAGCTTTCATAGACTTGGATGTGAAGATTTTTTTAAGTGATTTTTGGTTTTGCTTCATTTTTGTGAAATCACTGTTACCAACTCGACAATCATATCTTTTGTCTAGAAATACATTTCAAAACTTGTAAGTAATAGTAGTTAGCAATATCACAAGAGTAATACTAATGTAAATGACGATGTGAGGGAAATTACTAAACTTGTCTGAGCTCCTGCCCCTCACCATAAAACCAGTCTTGCTCCTTCTATCCTGCCCTCCCTCAAGATTACTGAAAGGATAAGAGGAGATCATGTATTTACCCTACTTACTAACACAGAGGCTTCTGCACAGTCCTTTAGCAAATGCCATCCTTCCCGCAGCCTTCTTCATAAAATGGAGAGGCCGTTGTTGGTATGTTCCCTGCACACCTACACAATTTCCACTGGCTCAAATGGAGAGTGAATGACTTAAAAGAGATAGTGATGGAAAATGGACTCTGTTACAGTTGGCATAAATATGCAACAAGACACTGTTAATTTATGATTGTGCATCAAATACATTCCATGTTACCAAATTTTCTGCACAGATTCCGCAGAGACATATCCCCAGCATGCACAGTCTCTGGACGGGACCAGCACCAGCTCTATCCCACTGTACCGATCCTCAGAGGAAGAGAAGAGAGTGACGGTCATCAAAGCCCCGCATTACCCAGGGATCGGGCCCGTGGATGAATCCGGAATCCCCACAGCAATTAGAACGGTAGGAAATGCCAGCATGTGCGTCTGTCTGGGGCTGTGCAGGGACTCCACAAAGGACGGATTGTCCATGGCTTTGTGCATTCCTAGGGTCTTATATAATGAGGATTGCCCTCTGTGCCATCCGAGTTCTCATGAATGTTATGCTGTGTGTGGCAGAGAAAGAAAGCTGTCGATGGAAGAGAATTACACAATCTGTTTTTCCATTTGAATGAAAAATCATGAACACTGTGATTTTGTTAAAGGATAAAACTGTGTTGTGTAGTTTGTTTTTTGGTTGTTGTTGTTGTTTTTTTTTTTCATCTACCTTTTACCAAGGAGGCTTAGGGCCATAGAGAGGAAAGAGAAGGAACAAGACAAGGGAAATTCTTTGGCTGCCTTGAATTCCCATGTGGGTTGCAAATAAACCAGTGATGTATTCCTTTCTTGAAATGGATGTGTGTTAACGCCTGGAGATTGGGAGCTGTGATTTGGGAGTTGGGAGGTGAGAGGATTGGAGCAAGGGGAGTTAATGTCATAGAAAGGAAAAGCTGTCTGAAGAAAAATACACATTTCAGTGTCCCTCTTCAGCTGTGCCTGCTGAGAGCCCTCCTGGGATGATAAGTGAAAGTGTTCGGATTTTTTTTTTAAGTTTTTAAACTCTGCCAAAGCATTGCTCAGTGTCTGGGCAGCCCCTTCTGGCAAAACGCAGCAGTAGCAGAGGCAGCTTCTGAGAGCCTGGGCAGGCAGCGGCTAGCTGCCCAGGTCCACTGGAACAGAAGGCTTGTGCCAGCCGGGAGAAGGGAGCCAGGGACAGCATGAGAGCAGCAACACGTTTGCAGGTGAAGCTGGGGGCTCTGCGGGGAGGGAGCACCGTCTGTTCATACTTTTCAGCAAGACCCATGTAAAGCTGGGGTGTGGCCAAGAGCTGATCCCCAAAATGCAGACCTGGGCAGCCAAGACAATAAGGGGTAGAGGCAAAGAATGGGAAAGAGTTGAGGGGAAAAAAGCTGTGGTAAGATTGGAAACAGTCAAAAAGAACTAACGATAAAGGGTGGGGATTTTCTTCTGTCCTCAACTTTACATTTTTATTCGGGAATTATGTATTTTATATACAGAGAGAGGAGTTTAAAATGCATTATTCTCAGCATCTGTATTCCATCTGAAAGCCAAAAAGTGAATCTGTACAGCAGTTACTGGAGCTTTAGACTCTCATTAGATTGTAGGAATGTTGAATGTGGCTAATTATGACGGTCTAATAGTCTGTCTTGAAACTGACGATTGCCATATTATGTCGAAGAAAAAGTTCAGGGATTATGACCAATATTCTTCATTTTATGACGATTACATGTTTCGGGTGATGATGTTTTCTTATTCATTTCTCTTCTAAGAGTTCTGGCTCAAAATGGTTAAATCTGAAACTTTCTCCTAATTATTTAGGGATAGAGAGTCAGACAGGTATGGTGTCACTGGTTTTGTGTAATTGACACTTGAGGCACAGTATAGACAAAATTAAGAAAGCCCAGATTCTGTGTAGTTATAGAATCTGTCTGAGAGGATTTTATTAAAGATATCTGAGTATGTTTTTAGATCAATAAATGATACATAATAGACATGCAAACCTGGCCCACATTTTCATCCATTAAAAGACATAATTTCCTTAACTAACAAGGCCTTGCTCAGTTAGTTTCAAAAGGAAAAACTGAGATGCTAGAGATGGTTGATGAAAGTTAAGTCATCTTAAAATTTTTAAAATGTTTACTGCCAAATCAAAAGCATGCTTGGGTATGCATAAGCAAACACACTAAACATTTTAATGCTAGTTCCCCTTCTATAAAATAGAAAATACAATTTAAGCAATGCAGAAGTTTCTTGTAAGGAACGTTAATTTTTATGTACATCTGTCTTCTTACTTAGACCTTTAAATCTTTACAAAGAAGGTACAGGTCTGCGAGGACTCTCATCTTACGCTGACTATACAGAGCACATCCCCAAGTATAGATGTGTTTACAAATGTCAAGTCAGGCTGTCTCTGAGCCACTGCAGGCCAAGACTCTCCGAGGCTGTTTTTCTTTCTCATGTGTGTAGAAAGTAATGATGATCAGATTCAGTGTAATCACCAGTGGTGATACTGTTGCAATGTACCATGGTGTGGTATCATTTTAGACAGCCAGCCTATACTTAGGAAGCAGAATTTTGTAAAGTCATCCAGAAACTCTAGAAAGCCAAGAGTCAACAAACGGTACTTTTGAGCTATTTTAATGAAGGGAGCAGCCCTCCAGATTGCCTCGCTCCTGTGACCTGGGACACCTACGTGAGCCTTTCCCTGCCATTCTTCAAAACAACAACAAAAATCACCAGGGCTCAGCTCCCATGAGATTGTGTCATTAAGGCCAGCTAGTTAAGTGAAATACAAGATTCTTTTCTTCTACTTCCAATGTAACCCTTGTTGGGGTATTTTCAAAACTGAAAAGGAGAAAAAGTGTACAGTGACTACTGTATACTGCTATTTAGAAAATATGCCTGTTTTTCTTTTTTGAAATCTCTGCGTGTTAAATCAGTGTAGAGTTCGGAAGTTTCAAAAACTATAGGAATGTAAAAAATGTAGAAAGAAAAGTGCATAGTGAATTGCTAGTCGCTGTTTTTCATGCAAAATGATTTTACATGCAAAAGTAAACTTCCTGAAATTTGAGTAGACTTCTATTTTCTTATTCTCAATCTTAGGCATAGCAGCCTCCATGATGGCATTTACAAAAGGAACTTTAAATGCTTCAAGTGCTTCTTTTACAAAGGGACGTAGAGTTTTAGTATTTTATTTTGCCAACTTCATAGTTCCCCCTGCCAACAGGGCATTTCCTGGCATCTCTGTGCTCACCATATAAAGCTAGCAGATGGCAGAACTGTGAGATCCCACCTGATACAGGCCCTCCAGCAAGTGAAGAAAAAACTCCCCCTGTCTGTCAAGATGCATTGCCATATACAGTGGTGGAACTGACTTAGTAGCCTTCCTTACTGCCACTGGTGTGTCTAGGAATACAATTTTGCATAACATTACGTTGTATTTTCTGTGGCTTTAGTACTATAAAGGAAAGGAGGTTTAATGAAAGAGAAATCAGTCCTTTATAAAAATAAACTTCCTTGAAAGATACATGTTTACCTACTTTGTTTGAACAAATAATAGACTCTTGCTTCATCACTGCAATCCCTCCCACCATTTCCCATCCTTTGATTGAATGTTCAATCAATAATCTCAACTCTTCCATGTGAGAATGAAGAGCTGACTCACAACAAAGTCAAGTGGCCCTTAATCGGTATTTCGGGTGATTTTCAGAATAACATATTCCCAGAGGTCAAAAGAAATTTAGATATAGCACAAAACCCTTAATGTCCAAATGAAAAACGCAGTGACCACATTTCTGGGGAAAAAAGATCAGGCAATAAAATCTAAACCAAAGCTCGGTCTAGTAAGTATAGGAATATTTTTGTATCAGTCCTAACAGAATTTTTTAAATCAAGAGAGCTGTCTTGGAAAGTTTGGTATATTTAGTTACTATAAGCAGGATGGTCAAGTTTGTTGCCCAGGTGGCTCTCAGAAATCCGGGGTAAGATCTGGCCAAGCAAAATCTGTGACTATGATTATAAAAGCATGTGTCTACTTTTACAGGTATCAGAAAGGCAGAGTTCCATCCAATAAGCTATATTCATTCATTATTTCATTCTACAAATATTTGAGGTTCCCCCATGTTATTATTTATTGAGTAGTTATTATATTCCCGGCATTACGCTAGGCCCTGTGTATACATTGTCTCATTCAATTTCCACAACCATCCTATGACTTAGATATAATTATGTCGTAGAGAGGAGAAAACTGAGACTCAAGAAGGTGACATGACTTGCCCAAATTTATATTGCTAGGGTGTATTAAGCAGCAATTTAAGGAACCAGGATTTGAATCTTGGTTCAAGATTCCACATTAATTTCATCTTTCCACTACAACCTACTGTTCCCATCACGTCCGAAGCCTGGATGCATAAGGAATTGTACTCTCAAGGAACTTACCATTTCAGCCGAGCAAATGTTATATACACTCTATTATCATATTAAAATGTTTGAAGCAATAGCTACATTCTTAAATTTTCTCTAAGACTCTGGGATGCCTACTACCATCCTGTATTTTAGTAACTTGGACTAGTGAGTAGCAAATTGATTTCTCTAGATCCACGCTGACCAGAATACAATATGAATCAAAAATATTCCTCAGTTAGTTCTGAATACACGGTCTTGACAGAACATTCAATAAAAAGCATCTAAGGATAATGATCATTATCACCAAAAGGAGTTAAGCAAATTATTACAACAGTCACTTTTATTAAGTGATCTTTACATAAATATATGTGTGCCAATATCAACTGTCTAGTTCTGGGCATAGCTACAATTTGAAAAAATAAAACCATAGCATGTAATATTCCAATTCAGCCTAAATTCAAACACAAGGTAATATATTTACAAACTGCAAACATAACTAAATAAATTGCTGAAATTGTCACGAAGTCATAGTAGAGTCAGAACATTTTGTCAGAGAATAGAACTCTGTTATGAAGAAGATAAAACAGAGAAGTGAAAACGCTGAGAAGCGGTGCTGATTTGAAGCAGCCTGTAACTACTGGACGCTGTGTTTATTACAGACGGTCGACCGGCCAAAGGACTGGTACAAGACGATGTTTAAGCAGATTCACATGGTGCACAAGCCGGGTATGTCTGCTGCTCTGCTTTCCGATCAGGTCCCTGTGGGTTGAAGGGTGTACGCTCCTCTTTTGCTTAGGTTTCATTCACACAAAATGTCAAGACCCCAGCAAACTCCGTGGCCCCTTCCTTTTCGACATGCCTCCTGTTCTCCTTCTATCACCCCTCCAATGGCAGCTCCTGTGCCTCTGCCTCCCCGCTGAGCTGCCAAGAAGCCTCCCCATGGAGGACAACCAGGCACGCTGGCCTCAGCCCTCCATCCTCCCCTGTCCGCAGTCTAAATCGGTGTGTTGCCTGGGTAAACAGACACAGTGTTCCTCTGCCCGCCCCTGTCTGCTCTCATCAAGAGAATCCCTCTGAGCAGGTCTGACCGAGCCTGCGCCGTAGACAGGAGAGCACCAAAGCACTTAGTAAAGGAAATTCAGAATCCAGAGTAGAGGGGGTTCTAGGGAAGCAAGGACAAGGGCCTGACTTTGCAAGCTCTGAAGAGGGCAGCAAGGCGGATGTGTTATAGACAAAAAAGGGCAGTTTGCGGAGGCCTGTGGTGGCATGCACCTGTAGTCCCAGCTACTCAGGAGGCTAAGGTGGGAGCATCGATGGAGCCCAGGAGTTGGAGGCTGCAGTAAGCAATGATCACACCACTGCACTCCAGACTGGACGACAGATAAGACTGTGTCTCTAAAAAAAAAAGAAAAAAAGAAAAGAAAAGAAAGAAAAGTAAAGTAAAAGTGGCATTATGAACTAGGAAAAATACATTGCTTTTCTAACAAATTTCTGTTGTTTCTCTGAAGTTCTGCTGTCTCATTATGCCATGGTGACGATCTGTATTACCATATATTTATGTTTCATTTTCCAGATGATGACACAGACATGTATAATACCCCTTACACATATAATGCAGGTAGGATGGGTTCCCTTGCATGCAATGACTATTTTGTGTTCAGCGATGCTGGGAAGAACTGCACGCTTCTTTTACCCTTCTGTTTGAGCACGTGTTTTCGGTCCATGTATCAGGAGGACGATTGCTTTTCTTTTCTCAGAGCTTCCTTAACAAAAGGATTGACTTTTTTCATGGAAATGAGAACTAATACTGGCTCATCTCATTCATTCCCACTGTTGGTTTATTCTCAGCTTCAGGAATGTTTAACCAAAGTGTGAAGGACAGCCTGAAAGGACACACTGTAACCCAGGGTACAAAGTAAGATAAAGATCTTTTATCAGCAGAGAGAAAGATTGCAATTGTGTAAGATCTTTCAGATACACTTCACAAAAAAACAAGTCAAGCAAAGTATTCGGTGACCTTGTCCCTGCTTTTTGCTCTAAAATGCAACCATTCATTGAAAGATTTTTAAAATCCCCCTTGGCGGGGCGACTTTTCTGACTCAGAATTGCCAGTGGTCATAATAGAATGACTTCAGTTCCAGGCATTGCCACTTGGATTGGCGTGCATTGGTATCCGGTTCAGAGGTCTGCAGGCTGGAGGGAGGGACCCCTGAGAAATGTTTTCCCCTTCCTCACTTTCTCCTGATTGTTGCCTCGGGATTCTACCCAGGCCTCCCTCAGTCCCTGCCCAGCCAGGGTCTCAGGACAGGTGCACAACTATTTTTTTTCTTCTTTCTTTATTTTATTTGACTGCTCCCCTCCCCTTCAGCAGCTGCAACTTCACTTGGGGTCCCCTGGCCAGCCTGGGGTCACATGATCCTCCCCGTTCTGCATACCCGGAGACCACACTCAGGCCCTTTAACTATTTGGAAGTGTGCTCCTATCTCCAAAGACAGATAGATAGAGGGAAACGCAGTAGAAGAATCTCAGCAAGCCCTCTGGGTTTAGGTCTTGGCTCCCCCCAGTGACAGCCTGAGGCCCTCAAAGAAGTTTCCCTTAACTTTCATCCCTGCTCCCACACACGCCAACCTCACCTATTTAGCTCAAAAGTTCAAGTCCAGCTTTTGAATCCAAGCCAAGCTGTCAGTGTAGACGTTGTCTCCTTTTATTTGCTGTGGAAACTTGCATGAACTTTCAGGAGAAGCAAACGAGTACAAATCGAATTGGCCCGAATGATTGGGTTGTGGGAAATTTAGAATTTTTATAACTGTTTTAATATCGAGATTTGTGTCACATTAGTAATGAGTGAAGGGAACGGCAGTGACGTCTTACTTTGTAGAGCCCTACAAGCTGAGCGTGTGATCAGCAGACGAGTCAACTGCAGCTAGTCTCTTTTGCTGTCTACGAACTGGGCATCCCATGCCTAACATCTTGTATTTTTCTGCCGTTTTTTCTATACGTCCCTGCCCTGTTCTTGCCCTGCCCACCCAAACTAATTCTTCAGGGCTGACTCTGAATGCATGGGTTTCATAATATCTTCTCTGGGCAGTCTACCACCTACTAACATCCTTTAATTCTTAATATGTATTTTCCTCATTTGGTCTTTATTCTACGTTACCAATTATTTTCCATCATAGTTCTATTTGTGTCTGATTTCCCAGGCGCACTCTAAGCGCCTGAGGACTAATGCTTCCCTGCACCTCGCACAGCCCTTTATAAACACAACTGTGTGCAATATTTTATTTGACAATCAGCATGTCAATTTTCATATGTAAATCAGGGGTTTTAAAGTATTAGAAGGTGTTTGGAAACAGTTCTATTTTTGATCTTTCCCTGAAACCTTAACTATGTTATCAGTGTATACAATTGAAGAGAAAATTTGCTGAGTACTTATAAGTTTATTCCTAGTACCAGTCTGAATTATTACTAATTCTGAAACAATTGACAAAGATTTACTGTAATCAGGGCTTAGGTACAGAATAAACTTGTAATTAATAAATTAACAGATAATTGTAAATTAATAATATTAATTAAGAAACTACCTTCTAATGAATGTATTATGAATATGCTTATTGATAATTTAATTGACAAAGATTTACTCTAATCAGGGCTTATGTACAGAATAAATCTGTAATTAATAAATTAATAGACATTAGTAAATTAATAATAAATTAATAAGAAACTACCTTCTAAAGTATGCATTATGAATATGCTTATTGATAATTTCTATGCAATCGTTGGCTATTTTGAGGGAGCAGATAATTTAAGGCATTTTTTAAGACGTTGTTTGCTTCTGTTTTTTGTCTGCTCTTGTTTTCTGTCATGATAGGTCTGTACAACCCACCGTACAGTGCTCAGTCACACCCTGCTGCAAAGACCCAAACCTACAGACCTCTTTCCAAAAGCCACTCCGACAACAGCACACATGCCTTTAAGGATGCGTCCTCCCCAGGGCCTCCCCCTCATGTTCCCCCGCCAGTCCCACCGCCTCGACCAAGGGATCGGTCTTCAACAGAAAAGTAAGGCATTTCCCCCCAGAGTGCCTATGTCTAGCTTAGGGTAAAAATAAGGCTACATGACATTCGGTAAAGAATCAGTGCACATGTCACAGAGAAAGCTATGTATAATCTTGTTGGTCCATACATACACCATATTGACCTCCTCTACTGGGATTGTAGCAAATGTTTTTTTGTTTTTTTGTTTTTGAGACAGAGTCTCACTCTGTCACCCAGGCTGGAGTGCAGTGGCGAAATCTTGGCTCACTGCAACCTCCGCCTCCCAGGTTCAAGCGATTCTCCTGCCTCGGCCTCCCGAGTAGCTGGGACTACAGGTGCACGCTGCCACACCTGGCTAACTTTTTGTATTTTTAGTAGATATGGGATTTCACTGTGTTAGCCAAGATGGTCTCGATCTCCTGACCTCATGATCTACCCGCCTTGACCTCCCAAAGTGCTGGGATTACAGGCATGAGCCACCGCACGGGGCCATTAGCAAATGTTTTCACTGTCTTATTTCATGATACTGAAGTGCCCTAAATTAGACTTGAAGTAACATGGGCACCTTTTCTGCTTTTTGATCAATATATACATAAAAGAGACAAGTAAATAGAAGTAATTGACATGTACAACCTTTGGTATACCAGGTAAAGGGCTATGCAGTTAATTTTCTGTTTCTCCAGGTCTATTAATAAGATACATTTTTGAAAGCAGGGAAAGTTACTCATAAATCGTAATGAGGCATTAGCTAACAAATGTCTGTGACTTGGTTCTACCAGTTTTTCAAGCTAATACAAGTTTTCATTTCTCCACTGAAATATTTTTATACAAACTAGCCATATGAAAATAAAAATTTATAAATACATTTTTATTGGATCATTTTTATTGGGATTATGACTACTTCTTCTACTTATAGGTAACCTTTGTTGAATACTCATTATGAGCCAAACACTATGCTAAGCACTTTTTCTGTATCATATCATTTGATTCTGAGAACAACCCAGTGAGATATGTTCTATTTTAGAGAGGAAGAAACTGCAGTTTAGAAAATTGAAGGAACTTACTCAGCTCATACAGCTAGTATGCTCAAGCCAGGGTCCAAGCTCAGCTCTGATTAAATCCAAAGCCTATGTATCCTAGCAATTAATAAATAAGAATATAAAAAATATTCCTATCATACCCATTCCAGAAAAATTGTATTCAACACCCTATTGTACCATTAAGAATAATTGATGATCCAGCCAGGTGTGGTGGCTCACGCCTGGAGTCCCAGCATTTTTTTTTTTTTTTTTGAGACAGAGTCTTGCTCTGTTGCCCAGGCTGGCGTGCAGTGGTGCAATCTCAGTTCACTACCACCTCCGCCTCCCAGGTTCAAGCAATTCTTTGCCTCAGCCACCCAAGTAGCTGGGATTACAGATGCCCACCACCACGCCTGGCTAATTTTTGTATTTTTAGTAGAGACGGGGTTTCACCATGTTGGCCAGGATGGTCTTGAACCCCTGACCTTGTGATCTACCCGCCACGGCCTCACAAAGTGCTGGGATTACAGGCATGAGCCACCGTACCCAGCCAGTCCCAGCACTTTGGGAAGCCATGGTGTGTGGATTGCTTGAGGCCAGGAGTTCGAGAGTAGCCTGGCCAATATGGCAAAATCCCATCTCTACTAAATAAATAAATAAATAGAAATTATATAATAGAGTAATTGATTATCATATAGCGTACAGCATTCCACCAAAACACACACATCATGTGTGAATGGGGTTCTCACTTTAATACGAGCCTCCTCAGGATGAATTATGTGAGGTCTTAAAATTGAGAAACAGTTTCTAGACATAAATTGTTATCTTTGTCATCAAAAAAGAACCAAAATTAACGTTTTGATTTAAAGATATTACCTGTCTGATGCATTTTGTTAAAATTAAATATCTCATTATGATAATCCCTTAAAAATTCTATATGGCTTTCATGTGTATTGTCTCATGTGATGCTCAAAACTCCTCTGCAAGGAAGAACAACACATTATTGCTATCTGTGTTTTACACAAGTGGAAAAAACGAAGACTGAGAAAGGTTAAGGGGTCTTGCTTCATGTTACTCATGAATTTAGTAGAAAGCTAGGACTTGCCCCTAATTCAGTGTCTATTTCCAACATGCCATGGAGCCAGAATTTCATTCCATTCCATGGAATCAGAATTACCCCAGTCTACAGTCAGAAAAGCTTTGCTCCTAAAAATCATGGCCCCTGGGAGGCTGAGGAGAGAGGATGGCTTGAGCCCAGGAGTTTGAGTCTGCAGTGAGCTATGATCACACCACTGCACTCCAGCCTGGGCAACAGAGAGAGACTCTGCCTCTTAAAAAAAATAAAATAATTTTTAAAGACCCAAAAGTAGCCTTCTTCTTTAGCCCAGCAACCTAGAAAAGCTTAATTTTGTGAAATCCTTTGAAGCTTTACTTTGTAAGCCCTCTGACAACCTCTTGAAAGATATTCCTTGGGTGGAAAGTTCTGGTTCCTATGAGCGAGATGTTTGACTCTGGTTTTTCAAGGCTCACACCAAAAGATGACCTCCTGTCCCACACTGCTTGCTTTGGTGCGTGCCAATCCACATGACACTTCTGTACTCTTCCCAGACAAACAGTGACGCCACTTGCAAGAAATAAGATCAAACATGGTGTGTGCATTACTCCTTGTCACTTTGGATCAAAGATCACAAAGGTCACAAAATGGTGGGTTAAACGCACGTAGTTCAGCAGAGCTTACTGCCACCTATTTGGAGCACAAACATACACAGCTGCCATTAGTGACCCAGAGGCTCACTCACAGGTCACTCTCTGCACATCTACAAACCCCTCGTGTGAGTTTTTGAGCCACTGGGAGGACATGTGGTATTTTTCACAGATTAACTTTTTATCCTGAGGGATTTTTTTGTAAGCTATGCTAAAAGTAACTTTGCAAACAGATAACAACTGGTATTACACAATTGCTTTAAGCAAAAAGGATTATTTTAATGTGTGATTTCTTGTTTATTTCTAGGCATGACTGGGATCCTCCAGACAGAAAAGTGGACACAAGGAAATTTCGGTCTGAGCCAAGGAGTATTTTTGAATATGAACCTGGCAAGTCATCAATCCTGCAGCATGAAAGACCAGTAAGCACTTGTCATTAAACAGAATGCCAGCTCGCTAGGCTCCCAGGGTAACCAAATAAACCTGAATTTCAGATCCGTTAGCAATTTTTGTCACAAAGGTAATGTATCTATTTGTCATTAGTTAGAAATCATGTTTATTTTGTATCATGATTTGTACATCTCATCTCAGAATTGAAAGATAAACATTCTAATATATTGTCTTTACTGACCAAATATTTTTGTGTGTGCACGCATGTGTGTATTAATATATATACACATGTAGTTGTGTATACATACACATATATACACATGTATATATATGTATATCTATATATATACACACATATACATATATATTTATATGCAAGATTCATTTGCATGTAACTATAACTGCCTAATCATTAACCAGAGTTTAACTTTTAAAAACATTCATAAATACAATACTTAATTGCTATCATAGCTTGCTAATAAGAAAAGTCATTAATGAGTTCAATGAGTGTAAGGAATGCTATCACGATTAGGCTGGGGATAATAAGTAGGAGAAAGTTAATTACAGACATATTGTTAAGAAGAGGAGTTGAACCTCTGATTATGAAACTTAAAACTTTATAATCTCCCCGATACACATGGACCCAGGCAGTTCTATCCCTGGTTTTCCATATTGGTTCTTTAATATTTCTTTGGATGAAGGGGAAATTTTCCAAGTGCCCTTTTTATAACAAGTTGTTTTAATTGCTTCTTATTAAATCCCTCCTCAGGTTACCAAGCCTCAAGCTTCCTGATTGATTGTCATTCTAATGGATCAAGATTATATTTCACTTTGCAGTATTTTTTCCAATTATTTAATTATATGCAAACAAAAATGTCTCTGCACCGAAGAAGAAGCACTTGCCTCCTCAAAGTGCAGGCTCACACATAGGCTCTCCCTCGGCCTTCTTTGGTCTGGGTTCCCTGGTGCTCCCTTGCATGTCCTTTGCTTCCCCCCAGAAATCAGTGCCCTGAGGATCTCTTTGAAACCCCACGGTTCCTCTGCATCTCCATCCAAACCTACTGCTAGGAAAACGTTTGCAATCAATTGCAATGTACTCTTATTTTTGCTTTAAAAGAATTTCAGGTGTCAGTGAATAGGAAAAAGAGAGCTTTCTTTGTTAGCCCCTTTAAGAGTCTCCAAGAAATCACGCTCATATATAATGCAAGGCCAGCCCTGTGGTTTCACTGGCAGCCCTGGCCTCGCACACCCAACATGAGTGTCCTTGATTTAGTTGTTGAAACGCTGTATTTGTGGTTGTGTTCTGGAGAAGCACGTTGAAAGCCTTATCTTCCGATAATTCATACATGATATGTATCTAAGCCTCTTACCCTTTCTTTAAACAACTCATATCTCTTAGAGTAACAGGACTACAAAAGAAAAACTGAAAGAAAAAAAAAATCACTGATTTGCAGGCACCACTGCAAACTGCTAACCCATTTACTAGTTTCTAGGATTGAGTATCATGTTACTCTGAACTTTCCAACTCAGAATTGAGTGACACACAGGGCCACCATTGCATAAAATTAAAAATTGCTAAATTATAAATCTCAGATTTAGATGTGAATAGCAAAACATTAATGATCGTTCTAATAATGTACGGGACTCAGGATAATGAACGTTGGAATTGTATTGGAATGCTTCCGTAGCTGTGACGTCAGGAGACAGGACTGGTTTTAGATGCTTTCCCGCCAGGATGTTTCAATTATTTACTCATTCAGCAAAACTGATAGAGCACCAACTACGTGCCAGGCTTTATGTGAGGTGCACAGTGGAGAACAGGACACAGCCTCTACCTTGAGGAACTTCAAGTCTATCATTTGATATCCATGCAAGACTAGATCTGAGTCTGCAAAGGAAACAGCCTCTTCTATGGTTAAAACAAATGCACACCTAAAAAACCCTCCCTTTGCTCCCTTTAGGGTTTACACACTGACGCTTTCATTGCAGCTGAAATCCCCACATTACTCTCGTCTTTGGGTTCACAAAGACTTTAAAGCCTCCTCCAATAGCAATAACAATAATTGTAAATCTTTATTGAGCACTTACTATAAGCCAGGCTCTGTAATTAGTCATTTATGCCTATCTCATGTCAAGTTTCCAACAGCCCTATTAAGCAGACACATGGCGTTTCCATTTTACAGACGAAGAGATTGAAACACACATTAGCTCTCTGCCCCAGGGACACACAGCTGGTGGGAGCTGGAAGTACCTGGGCATCCTCACGCCTGGTTCACCTGATGACTGCTAGACAGCCACCCCGGGCGTAGCTGCGCAGGAAACACATCTAAGTGGTAGTTGTTATTTGATTCGCTTATTGGATAATTTTGCAGTATGAATTAATTTATTTATTGGCTAATTCATACTAAAGTGTACTTGGTTTGCTTTATCAGAAACTTAGGCCCTAAGCAGTTGCCACACAGGACCAGTAGCCATGAATGTGACAGAGGTTCGAGTGTGGATAGGTGTCTGCAGCCACAGGAGAAGATAAGTAGAAGGAACTTAGAAACTTAGAAGGAAATGGGAATGGCTACCTTATGGAGAAATGCAAAGAACCAAAACTTTTATCCCTCCTAAACAATTCTGGAGAGGACCAATCTTAAGCACGATGGTTGGAGCTGGCTATATGGATCACTGGGGTCAGCCTTTCCAGGATAGGATTACGTCATCATTTTTTAAAAAAATTAGTTCTAACTTCATTTCAATTCCCTCTAAATTAGAAAACAAAAAGAGCCAAGTGGGCATTGGTGGCGCAGAGACTGGCTGCGTATGGATAGAGTTGACAGGAGATTCTGGCATGTTTGAAAGACCAGCTAGAGGGTGGAGAACAGGCTTGCCGAACGAGAGTGGTGTCACAGCACACGGCCAGCACTGAGGGCTGCCAGCGTCTTATCCGTGCATTCTCATGTCTTTGGACTTCAAGATGGTTTGGGAGCATCCATTTGCTCTTTTCATTTTTAATTTTTGAAAAATATACACAACACCTGGGCAATTCTGTGCTGCTGTTTTGAATCTTTACATGGCCTCTCCATCTGCCCACTTTTCCAGAGGATCATCTTGGATGTTCCCCACCCCTCTAGTGGACTCAGTGTCTGCCCACCAGAAGGGTCCCTGCCACGCCTCTCTTCCGATCCACAGTTGTCGGTGCCTGGCTCCAGTGACAGGCACCTCATTCATTTCCCTGCCTCTCCAGTCTTGTTTCCCACCACAGTGAAGGCAATCTTGAGAAAATCTTTATAAAATCTCCAGCTCAACATTCTCTCCTGGCTCTTCACTGTCCTTTGAGCAAAATCTAAAACCCTGAGATAATTTATAGAAGGCCTGTGATTGGGCTTCGACTGACCTCTCCAGCCTCATCTCTCTTCCCACCCTCTCTGCCTCACTAGGTTCTAGCTACACACAGAACTTTCAATTCCCCTCTTGCCAGGCCTCTGGAAAGGCTGCTCTTCCCCACCAGGAAAAGCTCTCCCGACCACCTCTTTCTTCACATGGAGAATTCCATCCCATCCTCCAGGTCCGAGCACAGCCCTACTTCCCCCAGGGAATGTCCCTGATTCCTCAGCAGTAGGTTGGAGGCTCCCCAGGCTGTGTGTCCATGGCACAGGCTGTTCCTCATGAGATCTTGAGCTTCTTGAAGGCAAGGACTGTGACTGGTCCACCAGCTGTATCCCGACACCTGGCACAATGCCTGGCCTCTAGCAGGTGTTGAATGAATATGCATTCGTGGAATTTCTAAGTGAATGAATGAACACAGATTTCACCCTTGCAATCAGTGGTGAGGGACTGAATCCTTATTCTGCTGCTTATCCATGAAGCCTATACATTTCTAGTGCAAAAGGCCCAGTGGGCCTCAAAACATTCGTGGAGGAATTTGACACGCTGCTATTAGTAGCTATGACTCGCTAATTCCATGATTTCCTGGGATACAAAGGAGGCAGAGGGGGTAGTACTGTTTGAACAGAAGTCCTCCCGAGACCCTGGCAAAAAGATCTTCCTTAGGAATCAGCGGCATATGCATTTATGTTCTCTCACAGGAAAGTAAAAGTGAGGACACTTTTTTGAAGCTCATAAATACCCATTTGACTGTAAATTTAGAAATGTTGATTAATTGGGCCTAATGTTTGATCTGGAAAAGTACTTAGCAGTCACCAGGAATTTGCCTTTAGCCGACTTGAACCGTAAATCAGAACCGTATTTCTACAATTTAATTATTCCATGAGACAATCATAAAAACTCTGCTGGGATTATGTTACTAAAAACTTTACGTCCTATCTAGATTGGATATGTTTGTAGGTGATTAATGTTAATATTTTTTTAAAAAAATTAATAAAGCATTTGTTTAGGACCTCTGTATGCTTGAGAAAGTAGAAAATAATACGAAAACGTTATCTTACCCTACAATAACTAAATCTGAACGTAATAAGAAAAGCAGAAGAAAATATCATTGAAAACACTGTGCAGAGTGGAAATACAATTTAAACCCTCAATAAACTTAAGCTTCTTTATCAATCAAGATTGTCAGTCAATACAGAAGCTATAAAAATTTAAGGAGTTTTATCTGATGACCATTTAGAATTATCCCAACTAACAAAGTATATAGCATTTGTTGTGAAATCACAATAAATATAAAACACGGTAGCCAATGGCCTTAAAGCTTAAAATGGAACAAGAATAGTTTTCAAAAATGAAATAGCACCGGCCCTTCTTCCCATTTAGAACAACGTATAGAAAGCATATGCCTCGCTGAGAATACTTAGTGAAATTTCTATGACTACAAAAGTAATTAAATGCTTTTAAATTGGAGGAAACACTAAAATTTTTAAAGTCGTTAATGCTTGGTAGCTTTTAAGTAAGGATCACACGTGAGTTACAGCTGTAGCTTTTCTTAAACACGTCCTCTTGCCCTAATGACACAAAGTTAGTTTTAAGCAGAGGTTTGCTGGTTGTTGCTTTTGGGCTTTTTTCTTTAATGAAAAGAAACAAAAAAAGTCACACCAAGTTTAGAAAAATGCATTTCAGCACCTTTGCTCTTTTGTCTTTTATGAGCAATTAGAGTAAACCGTGATCATACTTCCTAAATGAGTTTCTGGGTCTTATTATTAGTACTAAGCTCAAAGGGACGTCCATGTTCCACATGGAAAGGCTGAATTCCTGAGATGCGTGATTTGTGTGTATATCCATCTGTTGACCGATCATCCGTACGTGTGTCACTAACTGTTGTGAGGCTTCTGTGTTCCTTAGCAGTGCCTCTGGGCCACCAGAGGACGTTTAATTATTGCATGACTTAAAAGATTCAATAGATCAGCCACAGCAAAGAGAAAATTCTAGTTCTGCCATTAGCACTTCCTTTAACACAACTCTGCTCAAACATGTGCCTTTTATTGCATTCCAAAGTTAATAATTACCAGCTATCATTATTTTGGGTGTTTTCTCTGCCAATTTCTACTGGCATGCTTTCTAGATAGTTGCCTTATAACTATAATTTGACTTTTTTAATCAACAAAAGCATAATTAATGGGAAATTTCCATTCTAAGGTATAATCTAAGACGGTAAATATTCTGCTTCCTTTTCCATATTCTATCATAGAGATGCATTTCTATAAGTCAGGACTTGATATATCCATTTGTTATATATTTTCTTAAGGTGGGAGTCATATCATAGAGATGTGTTTCTATAAATCAGGACTTGGTATATCCATTTGTTACATATTTCTTAAGGTGGAAGTCAAAGTGAAGTTATATAGCTAACAAGACTTATTTGTTTAGTAAATTTGCTGCCCTCTGCTGTTCATGTTTCTTAAACAGATTCGTTTCCTGTAAGAGAAGTTTCTAGCAAAACAAAATACTATTCTTGAAAGCAGAAGTTATAATAATCAATTAATAATATCATTCGGTATATAACATTAGAAACTATGAAGTTTAAAAGAGTCAGAGGTTAGTTTTCTGTAGAAGAAATAGTGTATCTCTATAAACAGAAGAAAAATTACTGGAAATTTTCTCTACTGTCAGTTACCCTAAAAATTAGCTCCAGCAAAACCATTTCATGAAATAATTATGCATCTATGATAATCTAAGTAATAACTACAGAAAAATAGTATTTCATTAAGATTAAAATCTTAATGCTGTTGCAACTATTGAATCAAATGCAAATTAAATCAAATTTTTTAATTCAACAGAAACTAGCAAATTGGTTACTAGAATATTTTGTCTCTACCAATTTCACTATTACTTCTGAGATGTAAACCAAATATAATACTGGCATAAATAACGAAAAATATCTCAAGATTTCTAGGCATTTTTGCATGTCTAATAGTAGGATGTTCTGACTTTTAGTTATTACAAAAATAACTTTATAACAATAAAGGAAAATAATATTTAAAAGAAAGAAAAAACAGTCTCAATACCAGAACACCACCGTAGTCTTTTGTGTATGTGTGCCTTTCTTTGCTGTGTTCATGCAGAGACAAGCTTTGTGATGCCATTGTAACTCCTGTACAAGTGCATGGTTACATTCTGTTTTCACTGGTTGGTATCTCATCGTAAGCATTTCCCAGAGACATTTCACAGACTTTATGATCACTACATAGTTTGGATAACTTAGACTTTTGCACTATTTTGTCACGATGCTTCCAACTTTTCTATCGTTGTCTGTAATTGCTGTTATCATCTTTTATTACAGTGTTGACACAAAATCACATCACTAAAAACACTGAGTATCATTTATTATTAAGTGTAGATTGTGTGTCATTAGCAAAACTTGTAAATGCAATGAGTCAATAAAACAGTAGAACAATGTCAAAATCATGGCTTTTGTTGGAATATGGAAGATTTTAAGCTCCCAGCACTGAAAAGGTTATATAGCATTTCTTTCACAGCCCAGATGTAGCTACTCAGTGTAAGTCCTTGAGTTTAAGAATTGTAAGCGACCGGGCGCGGTGGCTCAAGCCTGTAATCCCAGCGCTTTGGGAGGCCGAGGCGGGTGGATCACGAGGTCAAGAGATCGAGACCATCCTGGTCAACCTGGTGAAACCCCGTCTCTACTAAAACTACAAAAAATGAGCTGGGCATGGTGGCGCGTGCCTGTAATCCCAGCTACTCAGGAGGCTGAGACAGGAGAATTGCCTGAACCCAGGAGGCGGAGGTTGCGGTGAGCCGAGATCGCGCCATTGCACTCCAGCCTGGGCAACAAGAG